GACGCTGTTGGTCGTCCAAACACTGCTCGTGTGTACATGTGTACCGTATATACTGAGGGAAACAACTTTAATGTTCGCACACGACAAATGTATTATAACAATTTTACTATTTAAACATTTGCATTTTTAATAGAAATATAGAATTAAGAATATAAAATTAATTTTCTTCTTTTAATTAATTTTAGTAGGGGTGCGATCGTCTCGTCATCCAAGCCACGAGCCGCCACAGGTATTTTATAATTTAATAATACTACAACAAACTAAAGCCGCGATAATGATTAAGTTTTGATTGACTATATATTGATAAGGGGTCCCATGTAAAACTGACACGGAATAAATGTAAGCAACACAATATTTTAAGATTATATAAGTTTATTCTTACTAATAAACAAGTATAACACACAAATGGGAAAATCAATAATAATGCACGAGATCGAATTAATTAAACAGTTTCCAATAGCGTAGTTGGTTGACGATGTGCCGAAAAAAATAAGCGATATTCGAACGATGCATGTCATGAGGTGTCACGAAAATAACTTTAACGTATATTCAAAGACTATATGTGGTCTGTATAGGTGTTCAGAAAGTAAGGAAACATGTTTCTATTGTTCTCGTTGTTTTTAACAATTGACCTGTTAAATGAACAATCGGCATAGCAAATATACTACTAACTTCATATAGTCAGTGATATATTTGCGGCGGTTCGTTGTCGGCCGTGCGGCATTTGCTGGACTTACACATTGTTAGTACGTGACCGTATGACACGCGTTGTTTCTCAGACAAGTTATTTGATTCCAAGTAGTAGAACGGCGGCTGACAAAGATGGCGTGGGATCGTATCAATATATTATACAGAGTGATTTAGGATAATATACTTAACGATTTTCTTGGAAACTATTGAACATTTTTTATTTTCACAAAGGTATATATTATTTTATTTAAAAATTTCTATAATATGTAGTTAAATTATTTTTCTTTCATCTCTCATGATTAAAATACCTGAACTTCAATTTTCTTTAATGGAGACCATTTATTTTTAGTTTGACGATATGATAAAAAAAATTGCTAACAATATTGTTCTTATCATTATTTTTACTCGATAAACCGTTCTTTTGTTATTAGTAGTTTAACAATAGTGAGTTTTCGCCAATTTTCTATTGATAATTTGTTGTTTAGCATACAGTAGTCGTTAATTGTAAAAAGTACTAATCAATAACATCCATCGCCCAGGAATGATATCTTTAATAATTCATGTCTATTAATAGACGCATTTTATTATATTCAACGCAAGATTTTACTATTGTACATTGTTGAGCGACCGGCGTGAAAAATTTTCTTGTTAACGACCATAAAAATAATTTATAGCCTTGTTGCCTCCAGTCTTGTGAAAACAAAATTAACGATGAATTTGTATTTCAAATCCAAACAATTTAAAAAAAACCTGTTGATCAGATAACAAAAAAATTTAGAACAAAATCATTAGAAATGTTTTTTTCTACCAACAAATAAAAAAAATAAGGATTCTCACAATAAAAAAGATATAAGTTTTTTATCCTTGTAGGGACAAAATTACTCTGTATATTATTTAATTAGTTGCAAGTATGAGAAAAAAAAAACAATAAAATATGCACATAATACATTTTTCTTCTTATAAACATTTTTTATTATTTTGCTATAAAACTTAGTTAATTAATAAAGTATAGTCTATAATGTTGACTCCGCGATTTGTATTGATCGATAGGCAACGCTTGTGCGTCAGTTTGCAGATATCGAAGTTCGTTAAATACCGTTGAGCTATACAGGTTTCCATCTTTTACAAGAATTATGTCTCTGTTAACTATTATTTTTCCTCTGAATTATACTTAAGACTAAATTTTAAAATAAAGAATAAAAGAAACAATTAGCTACAATTACATAGTTTATTTCTTAAGTGAACAACTTTTAATAATAATTCTTAGTATTAATCAATTATAACAAAACTTTAGATGAGACTATTCTCGGGTCTACCACAGCCAAAGTTCGACAACTGATTACTGACGTCGGCGAGGGCTAGCTGGAAACCACTTTTTTCTAGGTGACCATACTGGTCACCGTAAAAAAAGAAAATCTTAATCTTTTTATTTGAGAGAACATTAAATAATATTAAAAAAAGACTAAATTATAGACTTAAAATCATTAGCGTAATTATCGTAAAAGCTGTAGTGGTCTCTATAATTGAAGATAATTTTTTGGGAAGAAAGGGTGAAAAAATGTGGTAAAGCTTTCTATTAATTAACTAATATTATGAAATAGTCCCCCCCCCATAGATAGATTTTTTAAGTTACGCTTATGTTTATGGCTTTCTAGGACTTTTTCATTATCTCAATAAAAAAAATATATCTTCTGTGTTGAAATGTTTGTGGATGTATCCACATTTACAGTAATGAAATGACGTTTTGAACTTATTGCAAAGTCCATCTTTAGAGCGATAGTTATAGGCTCGTACTTATAACTATACTGTCAGCTTAGCTTGTTTACGGTATGTTTTTATATCAGTTGATAACTGATAACATCGATGTTGTTTTTCTGATGTTATTTTTGTCGTATTGTTTTTGACAATTGTCAGTTTGTTGTTTACAGTCGGTTTTTGTTGTTGTTCTTGGCATTTAGCTCTTCCTTTTCCATACTGGCATTTTTCTGTGATGTTAATTGTAGTTTTTTCACATAAAAAACAAAAACCGGATGTAAACAACAAACAAAAGTCTTAGAATACCTTAAACATTAGGGTAACTTGAAAATTTTGTTTATGGAGATTATTTCATAATATTTCCCATAATTACTTCAGTCTGTCTACGAAAATATCTTAATGTTACTAAATTATGTATTTTTTCATTATACACAACCGCTAAAATAATTGATTAATACAAAAATAATAATATTTTGAATTTAAGGAACCTATCCTAGGTTAGCGTGATTATGTGCCTGAGAACTATTGAATACAAGTATTAATTCTCTAAATTAAATCATTAACTTTTAAATTTCTAATGGTGTGTTAATAGTAACTATTTATTTTTCATTTATCGAAACATTATATTTTAAAATTCATATTAAAATTTTAAGTCATCTCGAGTACATTAAAGACGAATAAATATTATTTGTTTTTTTTTTATGTAAGTCGAGTTTACCGGACACCTTTTATCTATTAATTATTTTTTGATTAGGTTCGTTTTTCGTGCTGATGAATAATATGTAAACAATTTTGAGAAGAAACAAGTGATTTAAAAGTTTTAAGAATTGATAAGATCATTTTTTGTGACAATATAACTAAGAAAAACCTTTATTATCCTATATCAGGTATTACGCTATTATAACATTAGATATAACTGTCATATATATATTTCTGCATCAAGTGAGGAAACTTTAGCTAAATCATCGTTTAACCATAGAATAGGTTTATCGATAAAATAACTGAACACCTCTTCAGTCTAATCATCCAAGATATTTTGTATAATCTTTTTATAAACACTAGACATATGTAGGACTATGCTTATAAATTTGATAAACATGATGATTTCAATAAAATAATTATATATTATATCAATTTTAAAACCAGGATAATATATATTTGTATGAAGAAAGAGGAAGATAAATGCTGAATATTTAAATTTATAACGAGTAATACAATTACAATTATAAATATATAATTATTAGTGATAAGATTTTATTTTATTTTTTAGTATTATGATATTAATTATTACTACTATATAATAGAATTTTTTTATATATTAGAATTTGTTATACATACAAAAATATTTTTATTTTATAAATTATATAATATTAATAATTATGGAATATTTCTTATATTTTCATAATATTTATTTAGAAAATAACATTTTTAATATTCATTAAAAAGTTTATAACAAAGACACATTGATTTACAAGCATAAAGTTTATTAATAAAAAAAAAAATGAACTAAAATATGTGTTAATTCAAAATATATTAATTTTTAGCAAAAATATTACAGAATTGAATATGAAATAATGTAATAGAACATAATTATAACAAATATTTTCTAATCAATTACGACCTAAAAAAAGTCAAAAAATTTTTTTTTTAATTGTTAAAGTAAAATATTTCAAATTAATGGGTTCATTAGCGTTATTTATTAACTACGTTTAATGGTAGATGAGGCTAAATGCTTATTTCAATACCTGTATAAATATATGTAAATTATACTGTATGTTATTTGAGCACACAACTTATTTCAGGGGGTCGGATGGTTGTTGTCATGGGATGGCAACGCGGAACGACGGTAGTTATTATTACATTGATAATAACAGGTAGTTTCAAATTAGAATTTAGTGGAAGTCGGACGACAAGGCGCAGCAGATGGGCAATAGCATATATGTCGGTAGTTATTATACAGTTTAACTACGGCCCCTTATATTATTTGGAAGTTCTCGTCAGCATTGGACGGTCCGTGTTTTAGGCCATCCCCTAAATTGTAAGGTGTAAAAATGATAATTTGAGAAAATATAAAGTTTAAGTTAAAAGCTAAAAGTTCTTATTTGTTCTTTAATTTGACCACCCCAATAAATAAATAAATATATATATATATATACAAAAAAAAAACTAATTTTTCTAACTTAAAACGAAATTTGGTCAACGAATTGCTACAGATAACTTCAAAATATTGTTTTGTTTTTATTCTCATGTATAAACAAAAAATTGTCAACTTACAACTTAATTTAAAAATACGATACTTTAATTTTTTTTTTTTTTCAAAAAAAAATTGTCGCATTTAAGTTGTACTATAATTATAAATACATACGTAGGATACAGTTGTACCTATTTATATTATTACGAGTTAGATCCATCCGAAAATTAAGTTGTATTAAGTATATATATCAAATGTGGCGATATCTCTTTGTTAAATTAAGAATTAAAACCTTAAAATGACGTTTTGCAAAATTACTACATTTGGTTACACTGCTAAGTTCACTATCACTTTTTCAGGTTATCATAAATGTGTTTAACCATATACAAAAATTGCAAGGTAACTTCCAGTTCTTTCATAATTAAACTAATTTTTCTGTTAAGAGACTGTTGTATTAATTTGTATATTACTATAAAATTTTAGTTTCAGAATTATTCACAAAATGGTATTGTTGTTATTAATTTCTTGATTATTTCTTGATTATTATAATATTTGAATTTTTTACTTTATAGGTTTTCGAACAAGACAATAGCAACTACGCAATTCTCGGGTAAGTAACAAAATTATGAATTATTACAATTATTCTTTATTTTTCTATAAATATGTTTTTTGATTAAACATTTATTATTGTATATTTTAGTGCTACTCACATTAAACCAAAAAATTACCAAGAAGTTTACCATCCTGTGCAACAAAATTTAAAAAATGTTTGTATACAAATTACATTATTTTATTTATAGCTATAAATATTGAAAGTACATTGTAACCTGAGCATTTTTTAAAAATATTTTAAGTAGATTCTTTCAATACTTTGTGAGGAAATTTAACATAGTTATATTGTAACGTTAAAGTCCATATATGAAACTTCTCTAATAATATTTCTTTTGTTTTTAAATATGATCATGAATTTTTGGAGCTTTCTTTTAAATTAATAATCAAGCTGTTTTAAGATAGTCTGTAACAATAAGCTCTTAATTAAATTTGTAGCTCAAGAGTTTTTTTTTATTATATAACTAAAGTAAGTATTTTAACAACATAGAATTGTTGACAATTATGTTGTTACTTTAAAGTACTTAAAAGAGTTGTAATATTTTATTTTTTATATTTAATATGTACTTTATACGTATATATGTATTATATATTAATATTTATTCAATTAGTAATATTGATTATGAATTTTTTTTCAGTATAAAGAAAAAGAAAATAGGACATTATTGATGGGTCTCATGCGTACCCAAGGAATGCATATGCCATTACGTTTAGCAATGGAAAAAAAAGTTTTTGAAAGCGTTGGTCGTCTTCCAATTTTAAAGTCATCACATTTGCATAAAGAAGTATTGAATGATACATTAGATACAATTACTGAACTTGATTATCTTAACCCATCAGAATTTAATGAAACCTTACTTCCATCATTTGTAGTTATGGATAAAGATTTAAAGTTTTAATTGTATAATTTTTTTTAATTAATTAAATATAATGTATTGTCATTTAAATTTAATGATTTGTATAAATAATATCTAAATATTATTTATACAAAAAAAATATTTTTAACTTTAATGGGTTTGTAACAGTTATTTTCTTATTTAATATATTATATGAAGAAACATTGAGTTCTCCGTGAATTATCTTTGTTCTGGAAACAACAATTATATTGCAGTGAAAACAAAAGTGAACTTGTATGTTCAAGGTAGTTTCTTAAAACCACTGATTTTGTTTTGTTTATTATTACCACTGTTTTGATTGGGTAAGACAAGGAGATGGATGAGCACTTTCTTGTATATAATTGTTTTTACCTATTAAGCTATCCTATAACAACTTTTTTAAGTTTTAATGAAATCCTTTAATAAAATGTACACAAAGTACTATAAAATAATAATTGGTTGTCACCTTAAAAAAATTTTATATTTTGTCAATTACATAGTTTTTTTAATTTATTATCTAAAGTATATACTTAAATTTACTAACAATCACATCTTAATTCCATTCAATTTTATTATCATTAATGTCCTCATTTCTGTACTTTTAAATATCTACACGATATATCTTAATAAAATAGTAAATAATAAACTTAAAAGTCATATTTTTGTTTTAATGCACAGCTAAATAGTTACTAGTTTTACTTTTCTGTGTTTTTAATTGTTTTATTTTATTTTGACAGTGGACACAATCTCTTCACTCCTACTAAATTAATTTTGTTCAACAATACATTAAAAAATTACAAAACATATTTAGTTTAAAAAATCAGTACCATAATTTTTGAAAATCCTACTCCATCCCCATAATAAAAATAAATGTCCTAAAAATTACATTTGTCATAAAAAATCAATATTGATATTTTTAGTTTTCACTTTATATTACAATAACTTTTAAAAATTTATGAAATACTGTAAAATATTTATAGACAATACCTTTTATATATACATTACAGACAGCATATTGCATTTTTAAAGTTTTATAATTAATTAGGCAATATTTGGGTGGGGGGCTTGGAAATCATATGAACAATTTTTTTGGTGGATATTGTAAAATTTTTTAAATTTATTTCAAATATCTGCATTAGCATTTCACGATAGCGATTTTAATCACTAATAAATATCAACTATTATTATATATAAATCTCAACTCTTTATTGTACTTTCACTATTTTGTGTATCTATTGACAAAATACTTATATCTTACTATGAAGATAAGTATCATCAAAAAATTAAAAAACTTCAATTTTAATCTAATTAAATTTGACAGCTCCAAAAATTGAAAAAAAAAATCAATTTTAGGAATGTAGAAAAGTAACTCAAAGTTAGGTACTCGTCGAAAATGGGAATAATCATAATATTTTTCTTCATTTGAATATTAAATTAACTTATCATTAAAAGGTCGGATTTGTATGAAATTAGTATGAAAAACGTACTAAAGACAGTAAGTTATTTTTAACGTGCTATTTATGAAAATCCAGTGGTAATTTTTAGTACGAGTAGGATTTGAACAATGCAATGCATGTCCAATTTTTTTTCATAAAAATTATTCATAATGTTCCGAAACTTTGTTACCATTACTTAATTAAGCTTCACTTCTTAGAAATATATTTTTTTAATTAAAAGTTAGTATGTACTGGAGTGATTGAGTGTAGCTTTGTTTTAATTAATTGTGCATGTTATTTTTATTATGTTAACATTTTTTACATATAATAATGATCATTAAAGAATATAAATATAAAGTTTCATTATCAGCATTGCTTAATAATAACACTTAAATTTCAGTTTTGTTACAGATTATAATATTGCCTGTGACAATATTATGAAGTATAGTCATTTATCATATAGGCTCTGATAGTTATGCGTTTCAAAAATAGATGGCTTTAGTGGTTACTTGCAATGATTATTTCGGTATATCAAATGCATTTAATTTGTTCTTTTTAAAAAACTTATAACTAGTGTTTGTCACGTAAATTTAAATAATAAAAATAGGTATTCAATGCATATTTAAGTACATAAAACTAAACCAAAATAATATACTTATTACCATTTCAATGACGTAATAAACATTTTCTTTAAGGTGATTTTAATTTTAAATAATTTTGATGACCTTTATATATAACAAAAATATGTACTCTAATTTTAAAACCTTTCCGAAAATTTATTAAAGATATTCTACTGTTAATTAAGATATTCCAGTTAATAATTATTTAGGTTTAGCAAGAACCCCGGTCTACTGCTGGGTGATCTTAATAGAATGACTAGATACCAAATAGGCACTTTGACTGTCTACTGACAGGACATGGTTACTTGCTTAAACATCTTTACGCAATGGGGATATCGGAATCACCATTGTGCAGGAAGTGTGGAGTAGAAGAGGAAGGCTTATTTCACATTATGTGCGAATGTGAAGCCTTGTCCACACTAAGATCAAACTACTTGAGTAAACCTTTTCCTGAAAAAGAAGATATAAAAAACCTAAGTTCCAGAGCGATACTTAATTTTGCCGGAAAGACAGGACTCTTTGGTCATCCATAGGGTAACTTGATGACCCACATATATACAATGATAAGTATAATGTAATAACATTTCGGCGATAACACTTAGATGGGTAAACCGAATCAAGACAATTTGGTATGAGATGCGCATAATGGACAAACAGGTCTGAGTGCATGGGCAATATGTCCACCTCGATTAGAACTAAAACTAATAATTATTTTAATCAGGAGTATATTTATAGGAGGTAACTAAAAAAAAATCTTTAATTCAGGTTGTGACCTTCTGTATTCTAATTAATACACTGAAAAAGTTCTTAGTAAAATCAATAAATTGCGTTGTCAATATATTTATTTTATTAGTTGAACCATTTTTTTGTTGATCTTACAAAATATTTGTTAATTTTATCAATTTTTTACTCTAACAAAAATAATGGTTAATTAACAAATGGTTTATTGGACGCATTTTGATAATGCATTTGTTAATTTTATAGGTGAATTTTTTTCACTGTATAAAATAATTTTTCACAAACATTATTATAATGTATAAATAACAATATACATTCTATTAAAGTTAATAACTTTATAACAATTATTTTTTATAAAGTACGTAAGTATAATATACTAATTGTATATTATACAAAGTCTATTAATTTGCAGATTAGAAAAAAAAAAACCTATTCAAAAATCTCTTACGCTTTATGATATACAGTTTTATTATCAAAAACGAAAGTAGGTAATCTACAGGGTTTAACTTCCAGAATATTAACAGATTTTATATTTTTATATTATATTAATAATAATGATTATAAATAAAAAATTATTAATATAGTTTAATTTGAGTCAAGTAGAGAATTTATATAAAAGAAATCGCAATATGTTTTAACAAAACTATTTAACTTCACTCTACTATTTTTAAGTATAATTGAATTATGTCAAATGAAATAATCTACAACGCATGTTAAAATATCAAAAGTGCAACTCCTCAAAATTTATTATTCATAAATTTTGAGGAGTGAACTTTAATTAAAAGTCGTAAATTATGATTTTTAATATTTCAGTATTATTGAACTCGAATTATCATTCTAAATCTAATGACGCAAACTTCATGTGAGAAAGTTAAATTAAAATCGAAGTTTAAAAAGAAACACGCAATGAATTTTATATGTCAAGTTAAGACTTTGAAATAAATCATTTGTTTTGAATTGTGCCATAAAATTCTAATAATATATATTATAAATAAATAAAAAAGTATTTCTTCGTCTACTTACCTTAAAAATGTATTCAGGTAATTGAAACATTTTAATTTTGAATTAACCTTTAATTAGATTTAATTTGGCAAATTTCGATTGATTTCTAAGATATAAAAAATTTAGTACTTTTTATAAAGCTAATTAAAATTATTAATGTTATGAATCATAATTTATTTTGTTTCAATGATAGAGATAACGTAACAACTTTAACAATTAAAACTTAAAAATGTACACAATATTTTGTATAGTAGGACTACGAGTTTTGGACACACTATTCTATAGGGAATAATAACATAATGTGCGGATCTGTAGAATGATTCTGGATACTGTCATCATTGACGGGTCCAGTAATTGAACTGGAACCCTCTGACAACTACTGCCACACCAAGCTGTCAATGTTGTGGTATCTTATCTGAAAAAAATCCTTTCCTCGTATCTCATCTCTCTATTGATAGGCATTACCTTTATACTCACTGTGTGTGTGTCATCACTACAGATGTGCTCTTCAGATAAAATTGTTCGTCATGTAATTACTTACCATATATGAACATTAAACTTGTATGTATTTATGAAATTGCAATTCACAAAACTACTTAGGTATGTAAATTTACATATAGAAATGTATGAATATTATTATCATGCTCTTAACTATTATAATAAATGTCATTTTAATATCATAGGTACTAACTTGTAAAAATTAAATGTAAGGCTGTTAAATATTTTAATTATCTTATTTTATAACATATAAATTATTTTAAAATAATCTTCGTGGATAGAATAAAAAAATAAATAAATCCTCTAAAATGGCATTTTAGTTTAAAAAACTACCATAATTAAATCAAATAATTTTAAATTCTGACAATAAATTTATAATTTTTTTTACAATTCTTATAACAAATAATGTAAAAATCTTATTTGTAACATTACAATAAGTTTAGTTTAAAATTTATTCTGGTGATTTTAATATAATTAATGCGTTGATTACCAATATTTTTTCTGTAAAATAAAAATGTTTGTTTAATTTGTTGATTACGTTAAATCAAACATTTGCGTGTCAATTTCGTTTATGGACTTTAAAATCAAAAGTACTTTGTCGGTATTTTTTGATTTATAACAATTTTTTAGGTTAAGACATTAATATGATTCGGAGGACTTCAACAGCCGTCTGCACGTTTAGCAGCATAACACTGACATGACACTTAACGCGTATCATTGAAGCACTGAAATACAAAGGGCATTCTGATCACGGCAATTTTCCAAACACAACATTTGTATTGTAATCCCACTTTGTAAGTGCGCGTTACCAATGATATTAACACATCATGCAGAAATGGCAGATAAGATCATCTTTTTGTACGGCAACACGCTCTTCTCCCATGCGTAGGGGTCGTCCAATGTGTGTCGGATGAAATGCTCACAACTATCGAACGGCCACGTGACCGCCGCACTATAATACTTAAACTCAATTACAGTTTTGAACGCCGGTTACTTTTTCCTACTATTATTTTCCATCCGTATCGTTTGATCGCATGTTTTATTAAAAAATACAAGTCCCGTCGTAAGTAGAGTTGTATAATGTGGAAATGTATTAAATACATAAAAAATTTACTTTATCGATATTTTTGAATCTATGAGATATGAACGGCGTCGAGTATTTGTCATTTATTGTGTAGTGTTGTAAACGCCGTCGTATGGAATCGACTTCTGTTCATGT